CTCTTTTTCCTTTCGCAGGCCCCAGCTCATAAATGTGCCTTAATTTTTGCAGATAACAGTGGAATTGATATCATCTTAGGCGTCTTCCCTTTTATTAGGGAATTGCTCTGTAGGGGCACGGAGGTCAGTAATATTCTGGCATCTTAAGGTGGAAGGCCTGGGGGGGAAAAAAACTCGGAAAAAAACGGGGGGGGTTGAGGGAAAGTGCACCCAGTTAGCAAAAGACTAGAAAGAAAATGGAACTGCTGTTGTTGTTTTTTTTAAATAGGAACTATATATGCGGGAAAAGGGGTTTTTTTTTTTTTTTTGCACCCAGTTAGCAAAAGACTAGAAAGAAAATGGAACTGCTGTTTTTTTTTTAAATAGGAACTATATGGGGGGGGGAGATGATATTGTTTAATCCCACCTAAAAAAAAAAAACAATTAGTGGAAATAGCATCTTTTATCTCAAATGAGTTTTTAACCAACTTGCTAGCAGCAAATAAAAATAAACTTAGTTCAACGGAAGATGCCGGTCAAAATCATGACTTGGAAAGAGAAAGAGGTTTTTGCTATCAACCCTGTCTCTTCCACCCTCGAAGCTGGCAACACAAAACCCACAACTTTCTCCTCTTTCTTTTGGGGGGGTTGAAGTCTCTCCTGCAGCTCTGACAGGAGCTCTGCTAACTTTAAATGGGGGTCTGCCACAGGAGAGAAGAGGCAGGCATGCCTTAAAACCCCCAGTTATCAATTGATATAAACCAAATATCGATTATCTGCCAGTGAGTTAACATTAACGAGTTGGTCCAAAAAAAAGGAAAAAGGCAACAGGCAAGGCAGTTTCTAGATTGTATAAATTCTTCTTGGAGTGCCAGCTCTGTCTTGCCAACTTTTTCTGGATAGTAGTAGTGAAGATGAGACCCCCTTTTTCATTTCTGGACCAACCATCTCTTCCCCCCCCCCCAACAGTAATATCAGTTGTATTTGGTGGTCTTCTTGCCTCACAAGCCAAGATCAAAGAAATTCTCACTGGCCTGAGAATTTAGCTTGTCCCCCAAAATGGTGTCGGTGTTCCTCGCTCCAAAGTCCCTGAGGGAAGCCTGGATGCAAATGTGTCAGAATATAGTTCAGTTCCAATTTAAAAGTGAATCAAACATCCCTGTATGTCTTATAGAGTGCTGATCCAAAATGTCCTTTGCTTTCTCTCTCTCTCCCCCCCCCCTCTCTCTCTTTCCCCCCTCTTCCTCTCTCTTTCTTCCTCTCTCTCTCTCTTTCTCCCTCCCTTTCTCTTCCTCGCTCTCTCTCTCCTTTGCAATATCAGGTTATTTTGGCTTGCAATTCAGGTCCCGCTCTGAATGACGTCACGTATAACGAATCCTTGCTTGTGGTGGAGAAGATTGCGGCTATGGATGATGTTATTCGGTAAGGATTGGTGGACACAAAGCCCGAAGAAGTCCAAGTTTTGCTTTGGGCAGAGGAAAGGAAAGATATGTAGATAGATAGATAGATAGATAGATAGATAGATAGATAGATAGATAGATAGATAGATAGATGATAGATAGATAGATAGATAGATAGATAGATAGATAGACAGACAGATATAAAGATAAATAGATATAGAGAAATTATAGGTAGTTAGAGATAGATAGATAGATAGATAGATAGATAGATAGATAGATAGATAGATAGATAGATAATATAGATGATAGATGACAGATAGACCCACAGATGATAGATAGAAAGATATAGATATAGACGATAGAAAGCGAAAGATGGAGAACCAGTGTATCAAGTATAAAGCAGCGTTTGCTTTATACTTGCAAATGTACTTATACATTTCCTCAAGGGCTCTGCTAAAATTGGCTATGGGAAAACCACACAGCTGAAGTGTGTCTCCCTGTTTGCCTCTTTCCGAGATCCTCCCATCTTTGCTAAGCCAACTCTGTTTGCAAGGTTGCCCTGATGGTGGACAACTTCGCCGGACGTTTCTCCCACGGGCTGAGCTTTTGACCCCACCCCACCCCTCTCTCTCTTTAGGTCTGCCCTGAAGGAAGAGAGGCTCCTTTTGGTCCAGACCGGCTCCAGTTCGCCCTGCTTGGATCTCAGGTTGGTCACCGTCCCAGTCATTGTAAAATTATCAATAAACATAAGACTCGGTGCCTGTTGGGTTTTGTTTTTTGGGTGGGGATGGGGGCAAAATGAACGCTCCACGGATTTTAAGCACGCATGGTTGACTTTTGCAGCCTGATCGGCTTCTGAAAGTTAAACTCGGCCCCCGAATTCCTTACTGCGGCCTTGCTGGCTAGGGAATTCTGGGATTTGAATTTTTCCTGGCAGGCACTTGTGGCCTCTTCCCTCTCTTCTAACACAAGATGCCTTTCCCAAGAGAAATTATCTGGTTCAATTGGATCGCCATTTGACAGAGAGATTTGAAAACAATACGGTGTTATCTTCCTTTAGCTATAACAATACGTTGTTATCTTCCTTTATACCTATAACAACAAAATATTGTTATCTTCCTTTAGCCTTTGGGGTCCTTTGCCACAAATCCCTCCACCTTTAATTTGGCTGCCTCCAAATTAACTCGCCGGAGGGCATGGCTGGCTTTTCTTTGCCCATTAAAAGCGCATTTAAAATGAGCCAAGTGCGAAAAACCCATCCTTTGGCACAGACGCAACCGAGGCCTTCGGCACTGTTTGGAAACGACTGAACAGACCCAGAGCCCAGAAGCTCAAAAGCTTGCCAACCCTGCTCTGTCAATCTCCTTTTTTCAAAGATCCTACAAAGTTGTATTAGATAAATTGGCAACTCCAGCTTCTTCAGTTTGTAGCTGCTTATTTTAAAACCTTTAAAAAGAAACTTAAAAGGGGGCAGCGGCGCTGATGTTGCCTACTTTTCCGGGGCTGTACCCACCTACTAAGCTATATCATTATAAAATAGGTAATAATAATAATAATAAAGTTGGAAGGGACCTTGGAGGTCATCTAATCCAACCCCCTGCTCAGGCAGGTAACCTTATACCATTTCAGACAAATGGCTGTCTAGTCTCTTCTTAAAAACTTCCAGTGTTGGAGCATTTACTGCTTCTGGAGGCAGGTTGTTCCACTGGTTAATTGTTCTCACTGTCAGGAAGTTTCTCCTTAGTTCCAGGTTGCTTCCCTCCTTGATGAGTTTCCATCTCTTCTTGTCCTGCCCTCAAGTGCTTTGGAGAATAGCTTGACTCCCTCTTCTTTGGGGCAGCCCCTGAAATATTGGAACATATTTCATGTCCCCCCTCGTCCTTCTCTTCATTAGACTAGACACACCCAATTCTAGCAGGGTTTAAGATCAAGGGTTTAAAATGAACCAAGGGCAGCTATCGTGGTGGGAGCGAGGTCTTTTAAGGGCTCTCTTAATGGATCCTGATCCATTAAACCACAGTTGAGCCAACGGCCGTAATTTAATCCTCATCCTGTTGATTTTCACAGCCGCCTGGACAAGGGCCTGGCTAACTTGGTCCGAGAGCGGAAGACCGACCTGGTGATCATCGAAGGGATGGGCCGGGCTATCCACACCAACTACCACGCCAAGCTCAGGTGTGAGAGCCTTAAGCTGGCCGTGCTCAAAAATTCTTGGCTGGCCGACCGCCTGGGTGGGAAGATCTTCAGCGTGATTTTCAAGTACGAAGTTCCCCTCAAATCTTCCTGATGAACCCCAAAAAGGAGATGGAGGGGGTGAGCTTCAGCAGCAATGGCTGGAAAAGGACTTGCACTAGTTACAATTTTAATTGTAAAGAATGTATTTTTATTACCACAGGGAAAAAAAAATGAGTTCTCTCTCGCGCACACACACACACCTCTGTATTTATATTGTGCTTTTGTGACTGAAAAAGAAAACAGCTATCACTCACTCCATGCGCGTGCGTGCGTGTCTGTGTTTCTTGAATTTAATGCAATATTTGTAATGGCAAAAGTTTTGATTTTCCTCTTTTTCCCCCCCCTCCCTCCCCAGGATTTTTTTTGAGTGTGTGTGTGTGTGTATGTGTGTGAGTGTGTGAGATGCTTGTATTGAAATGTCCTGAAAAGCTTTTTTAAAAAATCTATATAATCTATATTTTAGCTTACATTTGAACTAGCCAATTACATGGCCCAAAAAAAAAAAAAAAAAAAATCAAATAGAGATTTTAAAAAGCTGAAGGAATCTGGATTCTTTTATACTTTATCGGCTCGCAAGATAAAAGTGTGCAAAACTGAAAAAGGCAGAGATGGGTCCATTTTTAGAAGGACCTTATTTCTACATCCAAAAGCGCCATTAGCTTAATATTAATGTTGACAAATTAGAATCCTTTGGCATTGACAGGCATACGTATACGCCTTCTGTTGTTTTTTTCCTAAGAGTAATCAAGTTAACCATTAGAATTTAGGCACTTCTCCCCCTATACATTCACCACCAGAAGTACATACTGTGTGTTTGTGTATAATATACAAGCTGCAGTGCCCAAATTAGCATTTCTTGTTCAGCCTTATTTTTACCAGAGCCTGCAGTTCCCAAATTCACCACTTGGAGGGCAACTTTTAAAATGAGCTGCTTTATCGACACAACAGCCCTGAGAGGTAGGCCGGGTGGAGAGAGAGATCCAAAGAGAGGATCTCCTCGATCCTGGCTGTTGTCGCTGCGACCTGAATAGAGCTGGAAGGGACTTTGGAGGTCTTCTAGTCCAGCCCCCTGCTCCAGAGGCGGGCTGTCAATCCATAAACCCCTTGGTCGGTCTGGCAGACAATCTACTGCTTTCAAGCCGGGACTACAAGTCCCCTAAGCCGCAGCAGGACGGCTGGGCGGGGATCACCCTGCCCCACCCTCGTGCCAGCAAGACCAAAGGTCTGGAAGTGCCAAACAGCAGCGCCCAATTCACCTCTCCCGGAAGCAGGTGGGGAAAACTACCGCTCCCAGAATGCCTCGAGCGCCTTGGCTGCCTGAGGCCTTCTGGGAGCGGTAGTTTCCCCCCACCTTTGCGACGCCCTCGGCGGGAGTAGCTGAGGCCTTCTGGGAGTTGCAGTTCTCCGAGCTTGAGGGGCCTTCCAGCCGAGGCCAGGCTTCGTCCAACGCAGCAGGCCTCTCTCCCCGCGGGGCTTCCCGGCCGCTTGGCCTTCGTCTCTCCCGCCTTCCTCCTCGCCCCGGTAGCGGAAGCTCTGCCGCCGGCCGCGCGGTTCCGCCATCTCGGAAGGTGGAGGAGGAGGAGTCGGTGGCGGCGGCTCCTCTGCCTGGTCAGGCGGGGCGGGAAGCGGAAGGAGGGGACACCCGGCGTGGCCTGGTGAGTTACCCCGGGCCCGGGCAGGCCGCGGCCTAGCCGTTGCCTTGGCAACCAGGCCTTCCAGGGCGGGGGAGACATGGGGGGGGGCGCCTGGGAGGACCCCCCAACTTTAATTACTGGGTGTGAGGAGGCGGGGGCGCTGGGCCTCTTCCTCAGTTTCCCCAAATGGGGGCCGGCCATATGGGGGAGGGGGTGGCTTTGCGTCCTCCTTTCTGGGGAGCAGGGAGGGGTTGCTTCCATCAAATCTCTTGGGACTCTGACGTCCATCATCCCCAACCAGGACAACGGCGGGAACTGTAGTCCAGAACTGGTGTGTGTGTATGTGTGTGTGTGTTTGTTTGAGAAAGAGGGAAATGTGCTCTGAGTTCTGGGTTTGAATTAGTTACCTGACTAGTCATGGTGGTCCTCGACTTACAACAGTTCATTTAGTGACCGTCCAAAGTTACAGCATCCTTTTAAAAAAAAGTGACTTAGGACCGTGTTTCAGACTTAGGACCGTTGCAGCATCCCCAGATGCTTGCCAACTGACTTGCACTTACGACGGTCGCAACAGCCTGGGATTATGGGATTCACTTTTTGCGACCGTCTGACAAGCCCAGGCAATGTGGAAGCTGGATTCACTTAACACGCATGTGGCTAACTGAACCAGTGCAGTGATTCACTTAACAACGGAGGGAAGAAAGATCGTAAAATGGGGCAAAACCTGCTTAACAAATGTCTCACTTAGCAACGGAACAGAATTTTTGGGCTTAATTGAGATCATAAGTCGAGGACCACCTGTATCATAGGACACGTAACTTATTTTTACCCTTGACTTCTAGGTGATCTATTGGGGGGGGCATGTCTCTTATTTTATCCTACAACGCCCTTGTGAGGTAGGTCAGGCTGAGAGAGAACAGCTAGCCCAACTTCACCAGTGAGCTTTACAAAGGTGTGAAGATTTGCACCCAGATCCACTCTTAAGTTTCTAATGGGGAGACTGGAGACTTGTCATTATCCCTGTCCAATGCTAGCTAAAATGGGATAGATTTCTCTCTCTCTCTTCTCATCATCCTTTTATTCCAAGATACACCCATTCACACCATCTCCTCTGGCCCATGAAACCAGCTCTGAAGCTTTAGGTCACCCAGTGGTGCCTTTTCCATCAGTCGTGGCTTATAGCCCAAGGGAGGAACCCAGCCAACATTAGTGGTTTCAAAGGAGTGAGATAAACCATTAAGTCCCTTGGCTGCTACTGAAACCTCTGCAGTGTGTTCATCTCCAGCCTAGTTGTGTGTGATAATAAGTTTCTTGAGAAAATCTCCATTTTACCGGCAGTGGATGCCATTGGTTTCATGGAAGAAATTTGGAAATGGCTGACCTTGGGGGTAATTTTTTTTTTTTAAATCTCTTCTTTAATCAAGTAGCTAAATAGTATGAATGACAAACATTAGCCAGGAGACATTTCTTTAGTTTACACCCTGTGAAGTGTTTTTTTCCCTGAATTTTTCTTTTGAGGTGCGCCTGATAGTCATGCTTTCTGCTTTGCTCCCCTTAGGAGTCATGTAAGCCCTAATTAAGTTTTTCTGAATCCAGTTTAGGTGAGAATGCAGCCACTGGCATTCATAAACTTCAAATAACCACTTAGTCTAGTGTGTGAACTCTGGGCCAAGCCGAATCTTTATTATTATTATTGTGATGATGATGATGATGATGATGATGATAGATCATTGCACAGTCAGCCAGATGTTCAGACTGGATTTGGCATTTTGTCTACCTATCGAGTCCTTACCCAGGACCTGGGATAGGCAGATGTGGATGTTGGATGGTATCACAGGTATCGTCGCAGGATGGAAGCAGTTCCTAGTAAGGCCGCCTTTTGCAATGGACTAATAGCGAATTTGTCAATGCCAGTGGTGTTCAAGTGGTGCTCCAGTTGTTTTGGGATTGCACCCAAGGAGCCTGTGACTATTGGTACTAGGATGTTTGCAAATTATGATTTGGATCCCTCTGCTTTACACTTTGCTCGGCTTTTCTTGAGAAGTTGCTTACAGAAATTGTAAGTGCTCCATCACTGGAAATCTTAAAGAAGAAGACTTAAGTCTTAAAGAAGAGTTTGGACAGCCATTTGTCTACAATGTCATAGGATTTCCTGCTTGAGCAGGGGGTTGGACTAGAAGACCTCTGAGGTCCTTTCCGACTCTGTGATTCTGTTAGAGATTTGTAATTCTAGCCTCGATTTTGTAGAATTGGTATGTTCAGTGGCTTACCATTTTTTGCAGCTTGCTTTTCTTGGGGAAAAAAATCTTGGCACATTTATAATAAATGCAGTTCTTATAGATGCTTTAGAGAGGTAAAGGAACGCGAAACTGGAACGCAGTTAATCCCTGCCTCCAAATTAATAAGGTGAGTTAGACTTGCCTTGGACTGGAAAGAGTAATAATATCTGAAGACTAAGGGGTGGCCAATCTTGGCAGCTTTAAGACCTGCAGACTCCCAGAATTCCCCATCCAGCCAGGCAGCGAATGGAATTGGTCTGTAAGTTTTAAAGTTGCCGACATTGGACACTTTTGCCTTATCTTACCAAGGGCCAGCTTTGCGCGACAGCTTCCTTGAAAGCTAACCCTGCTGTGGCCCGTTTAGTTTGCTTTAAAAGTGGAACTATTAAGTGTACAGAAACTTGGTGTAGACAAACTCTGGGTTTAGTTTCCTTCCTACTCTTTTCCCAACCTGCCTTTGATGTCACACTGGGAGATTTGACAACAGTTGCGTTTTCCCAAAGTAACATCCAGGGTTGACGTAAAACCTAACATCGTCCCGGGCTAACAAATAGCATCCATGTTTTATTCTTACCCTTAGTGCTTTCCCGTTGTGCCGTTGGTTTAACTTCGCTTTACCACGTATGATCCCAGCTATTCTGGTTTGCAAATAGGGTTCGTTGAGCGTACTGAGTGATACTTGATGGTTGGTGGACCAAGAGCCACAGTTAAGTTGTAATTTGGAGTGATGATGTGTGCCTTTAGCTTTGTTGTTTAACTGGATATCAAGGCGAGATCTTTTATACTCAACTTCTGGTTAGATTGATGTGGTTTATCGTTTTGGAATTCTTTCCTTTTTGCTGTGTTTTGCTTCCTCATTGCTGTTCTTACGAGAATATTCTCACGTTTGGAGTTGTTTAATAATCATAAAGCTTGCTCTCTTTCCTTGGATGTCAATTCACCTATAATTTCTAAATCTAATTCCTAGGCTAATATCATTAATATCCTTGTTGATCTTCCAGCAGATTCCAAAATTACATGCCAAAGTTGTTGTTTTTTTCCCCCCTCTTGATTTCCCAGTTGTATTTTCCCCCCACGCAGTTTTTCACCCACGTGCTAGCGAAATCTCTTTTTGCTTTCCTGTTCCTGGAAAACTAATTTCCCATTTTCTCCGCCCTCCAAGCATGACATACCAGGAAGTTGTGTCACGCTTTCGCTGATGTGGCATAGCAGCTCCAGTGATTCCCTGAGTGGGCTTAAAGAGAAAGGCAGCTTTTCACCCTTGGCTTAAACCAAAGAAACGAAAGTGTAGTTGCAGAAATCCAGAAGGCCTTTTCAGTCTTAATGTTTATTTGTGGTTGTGTTTATTTGTAAGAGAAGAGGAAGGCCTAGGAAAGGTGTGAGATCAGGTTTTTTGAATCAAAAGGGGACTTTGCTTCGAAGCCTGTTGTGTTCCAAAGAGGAACTAGAGCACTCTCACAAACACACCCCTGAGTGAAATATAGCAGGCAAAAGAATGTGGTGCACTGAGTGAATGTTTTCTCTGGTCCCCGAAGCCCAGTGCAAATTGCGCGCGATTTATCGGTTTTCACATCACACACCCAAGCTTTGCCATCAATCCCGCAGCACTTTTCCTTCTCCTGAATCGACCCACACACCGATTACACAACAACAACAAAGCAGGGAAGCGTAGGAAATCCTCAGCGCACGACTGTAATCAAGCCCGACGCTTCCGTCGCTAAGCGAGACCCTGGCGAAGCGAGTGTTCTCCCGCGTTATGACTACCCTTGCCACGGTTGATAAGCGAATCGCTGCGGTTGTTAAAAGTTAGTCACCCGGTCGTTAAGTGAGTCCAGCTTCTGCTTTGACTCGATTTGTCGGGCGGTTGCCAAAGGGGATCACGTGACGTGCACACACACACACACACACACACACACACACACACACACACCAGGGACACGGCAGCCGTCGTAAATAGGAGTCGGTGGCCAAGCGTCTGAATTTTGATTGCCTGACCGCAAGGATGCTGCGGTACTTGTAAATGTTTAAAAAAACGGCCGTATCTTAAGTCACTGTTTCCACTGCTGTTGTAACTTCAAGCGGTCACTAAATGAATTGTCGTAAGTGGAGGATTGCCTGCCTGTCGCTTCAAGTGAAGGGCATTTCTAGAATTTTGTATTGCAAAATGTGATGTGCCGAATTGTTTGTTTTTTTTTCTCCCCTACAGCAACAATGTCAGAAGGGGACAGTAGTGGCGAGTCCATCCATGGTAAACCTTCCGTGGTCTATAGATTTTTCACAAGACTGGGACAGGTGAGTTTCACCCCTGGGGGCGAACAGATCCCTAAACATCCCCGAGTGATTAAATTGGTATTTCATCCAGTCGAATTAAAGCAGAAAGAGAAAAGAGTTGGTAGTGAAGTGACTTCTCTGACCTTTGCTGGGATGTGGGAAGGAGCATGTTGGAAGGAGTATGTCTAGCTATAGTCTGCTTGTTCATTTGACCCCGGGACACTGCAACTCTCCTGAGTGCACACGGGTTGCCGAGGGTCCGAATTTTAAATCGCGGGCGTGTGGGAACGCCATTACGGTTGTTAAGTAAAAAGGACCGGCCGTTAAGTCGCTTTTTTCAATGCAGTTGTAACTTTGAACAGCTGCTAAATGGGCTGTCGTAAGTTGAGGAAGACCTGTCCTCCACAAACCATGGTTAGTCCCAGTTGTAGGAGCTGTAAGGCTTGCAATTTTCTACCAGTCAATTAATGTGCTGAACAATCTGTGTTTTTCCCCCCTAGATTTACCAGTCCTGGCTAGACAAATCTACTCCATATACAACAATCCGATGGGTGGCAACATTGGGTTTAAGTTTTATCTACATGATTAGAGTTTATTTACTGCAGGTAAGAAAAACTGAACTCTCTGCCTTCATCTGGAACCCCTGTCAGGAATCAGAGACCGTTCAACAGGTTGCCAATTCCTGACAGCAGTTCGTTAGCCCGTTAATGTTTATTTTATTTTAGCCGGTTAAAAGATTTATTTCTCTGCCCGTGCTTTTAGCTTCCATCTTTGGATCTTGCCTCCAAGCGCAAAGAACCTATTTAAAGTGGGGGGAAATAGCTACGGGCTACCCAAAGAATTTAATTTAATTTAATCTTTCTATGGAGAATTTACTCAGCAGAGGCTTCTGCTTGTAAAAATAGCCCTGACGTGGAGATGGGTTTGTAAATCACACCCATTCTTCATATGCCGTTTATTCTTACCTTACTTTGTCCTCATCCTTGGCTGGGGGATTCTGGGATTTGAAGTCCACCCACCTCTTCAGGTTGCCAAGGCTGAGAAAACCTAACCCAATAGATTGTAGTATGGCTCCTGCAATTTCTTGTTACCAACCAAGCTGCTTGTAGGACCAATCCTGGCTTCGGATTTAACCCTTGTGCATTGCTAATTATGGACTCTCTGGAACAGGAGCTTCTGTTCTTGAAACTTAAGTTCTCTGACCTCCCGGTTCTTGAATTCTGTCTTTTCCTTTCCAGGGCTGGTATATTGTGACGTACGCCTTGGGTATCTACCACCTAAACCTCTTCATAGCTTTCTTGTCGCCAAAGGTCGATCCCTCGCTCATGGAAGATTCAGGTATATAAAGTTGGAATTTTGGGGGAAAAAATGGGTTGATTTGTATTTTCTACGGACGCCGTCGATCTTTACGGATTGATTGGATTAAATTTGGAAACCTTGCTTGTCCCTTGACGGTGTGGGTTGGGGTCTATGCCTCGTCTTAAACCACAAAGTGATTGAAATTTTTTTGGCCATTGCGTTTAGTATCTGGCGCTTGCATTTTTAACCATGGTTTATGGTTAGTGTCCTGTATAATCATAGCAATCTGAGCTTGATTCTATAAATCCTAGTTCCATAGATTAGGGGTGAATATACAGGAAATCTTTGACTTACACCCATTTGTTTAGTTACGACGGCACTGGAAAAAAGGGAATTGTGGCCGTTTTCCACGCTTAACGGCCGTGGCCACACCCCTAGGGTCACGTGATCGGAATTCAGACCCTTTAATTCAGACGCCGGGCAACTGACTCGTATTTATGATGGTCGCAGCGTCCCCTCGGTGTGGGAAGGAAGCTTGTAGAATGGGGCAAAACTCACTTTAACAAATGTCTCGCTTCGCAACAAATACGGGGGCTCAGTTGTCGTAAGTCAAGGACTGCCTTTGCAGAGCATCGTCATTTAGAAGTGAAATGGGATCCCCTGTGAGGATTCTGAGACTTGAGCCTATTTTGCAACAGCAGCAATAAAAACCCAGCTCCTGAACGGACCATCTTCATCTGCCTGATCAGGCCGAGATTTTTAACAACTCCCAACTTTGCAAATCATGACTTTTCTTCTCTTTTGTTTTTTAGACGAAGGCCCTTCACTACCGACAAAACAGAACGAAGAATTCCGGCCTTTTATTCGGAGGCTGCCAGAATTCAAGTTTTGGTGAGTGGACGCAGATAATCGGGGGCTCCCTTCTCGTCTTTGCCCTTCCGGCGTTCCCGCAGAGCGAGGTTTCTCTCTCCCCTGACAAGGCGGGCAGCTGGAGCGCGATTGTCCCTGCCTGCTAACCCCGGTTTGCTTCCTTCCTTCCTCAAAGGCATTCTGCTACAAAAGGGATCCTGGTTGCCATGACCTGTACATTCTTTGAGGCTTTCAACGTTCCAGTTTTTTGGCCCATTCTGGTGATGTACTTCATTATGCTCTTCTGCATCACGATGAAGAGGCAAATCAAGGTGAGTGCGGAAGGCTTTGGACCAGCAGGTCCAAGCTTGGCAACTGGTGGACCTCAACTCCCACAAGTCCCTAGCCAGTCAGGCTGGCTGGAGAATTCTGGGAGCTGAAGTCTACAAGTCTTAAAAGTTGCCAAGGTCGGACACTTTAGAGCAGGGGGTCTTCAAACCTGGCCCTTTGGTGACTTGTGGACTTCAACTCACACACTGGCTGAGGGATTCTGGGAGTTGAAGTCCACAAGTCACAAAAGGGCCAAGTTTGAAGACCTCTCTTTTAGACCCTGAAATAAGTGGGGGGGGGGGGGAGAGAAGAGATTGCCTGCAATCCCAGGCAACATGAGATTTGGTCATTGAATTCTCCCATTTGGGGGGCCGGCATAGCCCTGGGTAGCAAAATAAATACAACCAACCAGGTAAGGCATGCTAGACAAGTGCAATTGAAGGAATGTGTGAAGGTAGCCAAACATTGGTTACATCAAAGTAACAAGAATTTCAAAATGCTTTCATGCCAAGCAGATGTAGCTGGCTACGCCCATGGCCAAAAGGCTGACGGGAGATAACCTTGATCATGAAAAGGTAGCTTGTTTGGAGCTGCTGCTTCACACTCTGCCAACGTTCCTCCAATTAGCAGATGGTTCAGTCCTGATCTGTTGGGCGAGCCTCATTTGCCCGTGTCCATGGAGCGCTTAAAGCCAAACAATTGTGGCTTTAAGTGGATCCTGCTCAGAAAAACGTAGCTTAACGTCCTGTGTGAAGGGAACCCTTGTTTGTCTAAATAGATCGGCCCTTGGAGGTGTTACTTGCATTTTGGGAAAATGGGGAGGAGAGGGGGGGGGAAGGGGGGGAGGCGTCGTCTTAAGACATGTGTTTTTCGTTCCAGCATATGATAAAATACCGATATATACCCTTCACCCACGGCAAGAGGAGATATAAAGGGAAAGAAGAGGCAGGGAAGACTTTTGCTAGCTAGAAACCCTATCCCTGAAATCTGCTGACCAACCTTTTTCCTGCGTTATAATTAAAAAGACCGCTTTTGAGCCATTGTAACGATGCCTCTGGTTCTTCATGATCAGTCAATAAGGAGGGCGACGATCCAGAAGATTCATTTTCTGTCTCTTCAGCTGATTGGAAGAGGGGTGGGTGGGGGGTGTCTGATTCCTACCAGGAGAATTCTGCCTTTTAACTTGCCTCTTCTGAAATTGTTGCACTGTGGGAACAAGCTATTTTATCCGTCCGGGGCCTCTTTTCTCCTCCCCTTGGGCAGTTATCACATGTTTACACCTAGGTACGTGTGTGTGTGTGTGGGTCTCTCTGGGATCCGAAGGCACTGGGTTCTTGGCTTTGCATATGTGGCTTGGTGACTTCGCAAACTTTTCCAAGGGCCTCCTGCGCGTGTATTCCAGATGTGTGGTTGTGCATGCAGACCAAAACAGGTAGGGAATTAGAAATTTCTTTGGGAGGCCTACTGCTAGCATGGAAAGGGAGAATATCGGTTTATTTTATTTTATTTTAATTCTCCAACCCAGTCTGCACACTGTACCTTGCTGAAATGAGAGAACTGTAATAGGAACCTGGGACACAATGATAAAGACATTCAACTTCTGATTGAGCTGGAGAGCAATCCATGCCCTGTGCTAGTTTAACTTAAACTTGAGCATTTTGAATTAAACTTGTCTTCACTGACTGAAGGAATCAGACTTTTAGAGTGAAGCAGTGGAAGATGGGCTGTGTAGTTCCCCCCCTCCCGGGTTTTGTTTAGTCATCAGCTGTTTTGTAATATATTTTTTTTTTCAGTTTTGGAAAAAGCCTGGAATTAGAATTACATGTGTATATCTATAAAATATCAGCTAAAGAGTATTTTAACATGTTTCTTTGATAACTTTTTTTTTTGGGTAAAATTTGCTTCATAGCCCTTTCCAAGATGTAAATAGATTGGACTGGCAGATTGAAATTTATGGGGTTTTCACCCAAGCTTTTAATTTTCTATGGAGAGAAATCTTAACACAACCTGCACGTAAGACATCTTCTATGTGATATAGCTGCGAGCTGTTTTATTAAGCGACTTTTTAAATTCCAAACTTTATTTAAAAGAAAAAAAAAGGCCTCGTCCCGTTCTTGGGCCCAGCCGTCTTTCTAAAACAAAATGTAAAGAGCTATGTATTCCTGGTTTGAAAGTTTTCTCTCCGCCCTGCTTTCTTAAATGCATATAATTTAATCTTGTGGAATATTGTATTTTAGCTGTCTCAATAAAAACAGCCCTTTGCACTATTGTACAAATATTATCTCGAAAGATAAATTAGCTATTGAGTAGCAACCCCCAAAATAAATATTTACGTCTTAACATACTCAAATAATGCTGTGCCATTAAGTCCATTTCACCTTTAGAGCATTATTATTATTATCATCTAAAGGGAGGAATTGTGGGCTCTTCGTGGGATAGCAAATTCTGTTTCCTTTTAAAATGGTCTTTTCCCCCCAGCTTGATTACAAGATATAAATGCCAATGCCCCCACCCCCAATTTAGAAATGGCGTCTTGAAAAAAGGTCTTGGAATGCTATTGAAACTAACCAGACCAAAATACACAATGGATCTTAAGTTGACTATACCAGCTGGGTATATGCTCAGCGCATTTGATCCTGAAAGCATGCTGAAAGCAAAATTGCAGAATTCAGAATTCACTAGGATGGGTAAGATGGCCCTCCTTCCTGACCTCAAACCCCCCCCCCCAGATAAAAAGTAAATCAGCCGCCGTTGGTGTTTTAAATGGATAGTTTTATATCATCTTGCAAGAGGGGCAGTGAAAGTCAAATGTCTGGGCTTCCATTTTGATCACCACAATTTAATATCAAAATAAAATCCCACACTCGTTCAAAGCTTGCGTTTGCGTTGGCTCATAGCAGCTTTGCAATTCCATTTACTGGAAGTGTCGAAGGTAAATAAGCTTTTGAGGCTGAAACTTCTCTCTACACAGAGGACACTCAGCCTGCGGGAAAGAGAAAAAAAAAACCACAGTGTTAGGAAACGTAAATCCTTCAAATTGCTTTAAAAACCATCCCCTTCTTTAATTTGAGGCGCAGTTATGTGCGGTAGAAATTTGCAACCGTTTAAGAAAAAAAGTTGTAATGCTTCTGGACCAAGTTTGAGGGCATCAATCCACACCTTGGTGTTGCACCAGGCAGCGATGCATTCCCAGCAGAAGAGGTGCCCACACGGTGTGGCTGTGGCATGCCGGCGTTCTTCTAAGCAGAGTGTGCAACGCACACTGTGGCCAGGAATCTTCTCTTTGGGTTGGTTTCTGAAGGAAGTGACGTTAGACAGAGTTAACTCAGAGAAAGGTGATTCCAAAAGAGATTGATGGGTGTAAGAAATAAGAAAGGTTTTAGGGAACTGCCATGTCTTTAATCGCCTTTATTTCTGTTCCTTCAACATAATGTGCTTTGGTCTTGTATTTTGACTGCTTTAAAACTCAATATCCCATAGGCCGAAAGTCCAGGTTCTGCACCACAATAAAAGCCCTTTAGAATAATATATTTTGAAGTACAATACCCACCAACCTGTATTTCTGGGGTGTAGTTTTAGCCATTTTTAACTTTCTTAATGCCCGCTAACTCTCAACTGTGAAAATTGAAAGCTGAATTTCAAATGCTACTAAGGTGATGCCATGGATATCAATTCTCTTTCCCGTTCAATAAAATAAAATCCCAACTTCATACGTCTGACAGGAGAGGTTGCGGAGTAGCTTCCATTCTTTTCTTGCCCTCTGCCGATGCCGGAGGTTGTACGCGTAGAGGCCAAGGGTCAGCCCCAGATGCAGGAAGGAAACAATTCCAAGCAGCTTGTAACTTGACCGAATGCTGTGGTCATCCTTGATGAATCCAACAGAGCGTAACTGGGGGAACAGAAGAATCGAGCAAAACCATCAACTGAAGGTAAATTCAGAAGATTTTGCCATAGAAGTAGCTCTGTTCAAATGTTTCGTTTATGAGAAAAGAGTATTCTTTTCAAAATCATGAGCTCTTTGCAAATAGATTAATGCTTTCAGGTGTTAGTTTTCATCTCGTAAAATATTTCCCAATCAAGAAAATTCTTTGATTTTTAATTCCTTTATTTTATAAGCCGGTCAAGGCAACAAATGTACATAATATTCCTCCATTCCCCACAATGACAACTCTGAGGTGATTTGGGCTGACAAATTTACCCCAAAATCACCCAGCTTGCTTTTATTTGTAAAGCGGGACTAGAATTCACAGTCTCCTAGTTTAGCCTTAACCACTAAACTGGCTCCCTGGTTCAAATCATACCTCAATCATTTTTATGCTGGAGGATGCAAACTTCATTTAGTGATTTAAGAGCTTTTCCAGTGAAAAACAAAGCAAATTACATACTTAAGCATTGGAATATGTACCGTTCCCATTTTTGCCTTTTAAGAAACATTCCAAGCCAAAAAAAAAAAAAAAAAATGATGGTGCCATTGACTTAAGTTGACTAAGCACCCTTCTATACATTGGTGATGGTGCCCAATTTAGAAACAGAAGCATAGGGAATCACTCACGTATGTGATCCCTGTTGTCCTTTTAGATAAATGGTAGAAGACACCGTTCATATAAAAAACAGCTAAGTGCAATCTACGGAGAAACGGGAGGCTTGGCTTGACGATTTGAACAGCCCGAGCAAGGAGCGTTCTCTGCCACTCGCTTAATCGCCTGACTTGTTTCCGCAACCAGCTTCGGAGTAACGCCCGGCTTTGCAATCCACTTAAATTTCGGGTATGCAGAGTCTGTGATCCGTTGGAGGCTGCCTCAAGCTCCTGCTCGAGCAGGACCAGTCCCTTGTCTAACAAGTAAGGCAAGACGGTGTGCAGAGCAATCAAAAGGGCCCGACGTCTCAGCGAAGGGACCTTGCCCTTAGAGGGGTCTACTTGGATAACGTTGACATATTCTTCACCAAGAGTTTGATAACCTGAAGGGGGGAGGGAAAAAAAAGCAATGGAAACCCCGAAGACAGGATTATAAACCCAGTTTTAGCTTAGATCGACAGAAGCACCACAGGACTCCCCGGCTTACAAACGCAAGCGGGACCAGATCTAAATGCAACCCAGGGACAAGAGAAGGAAGGAATTAGGTGTCTTTAGCTTTCAATTCAGACAGAATCATTACCTGACAGGGTAGTAAGGGTGAAATAGGCAACGTCAGCCAGGAGCTCCAACTCTTTCTGCCATTCTAGCCAGATTTTAGCACCTAAGGAGCCAAAATGTAGAATTACATCACCAGGGAATGCAAGGCTGTTCAATTTTTATCTAAGTAACAGTTGAAGGGGAGTCAGGGAGCGTATTTTTATCATCAAAAATATCACCACCACCGTTTCAAGAAAAGAAAAAAAAAACAAAGTACAATTAAGCATAGTGATGCAGGGATGGTGCTGGTTGTACCACTTTTTGTACATTGAATAACAGGTAAATAATAAGTAAAAAAAATACGGAGCCAGTTTGATTTAAAGCACGCTGGCTGAGGAATTCTGGGAGTTGGAAGTCCACAAGTCATAAAAGGGCCAAGTTTGAAGACCCCCTGGTCTAAAGGGTTAAAGCCTCAGGCTAGATAGGGTTTCCTTCCTGAGCAGGGGGTTGGACTAGATGACCTCCAAGGTCCCTTCCAATATTATTATTGTTTATTATACATATAAATATGTATTTATTATTATACATATCATTATTATTATTATACATATAAATATGTATTTATTTAAACTGAAGCGCCAATTTAAGACCAAAGGCTGAGAAACGGCTCCAGGGAGGAGAGAAGGCGGAGGCGCCTCACCCGCCAGGCCAGACAAGACGGCGCCGGCCCGGCTCTTCAGCGCTCTCCGGTAGAGATCGTCCTTCTGGGCCGAGCGGACCAGGCGAGCCGGCCCGGCTTCCACGGCCAGCGGCATGGCGGAAGAAAAAGCGGCCCAACACCTCGGGGATCTTCTTCGCTTCCGTATTCGTCGCCCAGTTCAGACGTCATCGCCTGTCGACGCGGCGCGGCGCTTTACGTCATCAGAACGCGAGCGGGGAAGCGGTTTTTTCCCTTTGTAGAGTTACGAATGTAGAGTGATGCTCAGAGACGCAACTTCCGGGATTAAGTCAATTTTAATTCTACGAGTAAAGAACGACGTTTTTAGCGTCCTTCTAGGGCAGATCAATTGTACGCCTGCTTATACGGAAAGTAATTGACTGATTATCTCCCATCAAGTCGGTATCGACTTTTCCCGACCCCATAGATAGATACATTCCGAAAGATGCCCGCTAAATTCGAATAATTGGGTCTCGCGTTCAACCGATTTCAACTATTGCCCTCCAGAAGCTTTAGGTTACATATAATTGTCCTAATTTACTGACCAGTATATTAATCCCAGCGCGAAAACTCTACTTTGGTAACAAAAGAAATTTCTCTGAGTGAACTCGGAAATGATTACATAAACTGTTTTATTCTATACGGCTTGTAAATCTATGGTGCTCGATGACGTAATCGGAACGCGCAGCCGTCGCCTGAGCGAAAAGTACGCCCTCTTCGGCGTAACTGACGAAACGCTTCCCTTCGTGGCTTGGCCGCCATGGCCAACCACCGCGC